CAAAGAATACAGAGGCAAAACTAAGAGCTAAACGGCCAAAAAATAGACTGGCAGTAATGGAGGACAAAGAGACGGAAGCCATTAGCAGCTGGATTAATTTGCAACTGAACTGCGCATGCGCAGTGGGCGTGGCATTACTAGATTAATTATACATTATTATTATGAGTGTAATTATTACACATTGATGGTAGTGCTGGGCGATATTGAAAATTTTGAAGCGATACGATATGATACGATATTGCCTAAAAATGAAGAAATCGATATTTTTTATCGATAAGTTATTAAGCCACACCCATTAACTTTAATATTACTAAAATGGCTAAATAAAGCTATTTCTGAGAACAATTATTATTGAAAAGCATTCTAAAAACCTTCTTTGGCTTCATATATTTCAGCTACTTCATCTACTTTCCAAGAGAACACATTCTAGCAATCTTTGAAATGTTACTCCTATAGTTAATTAACTATTTATTAAGGTTATGTAACCATTTTGTGGGCGTGGTCTTGTTATCGATATTTCCTTCAAAATTTTTCGATATTGATAAGTATCGATACCGCATTATATCGATTAAATATCGTGAGTTTTGATATATCGCCCAGCACTAATTGATGGTGGGTATTTTCCACCAAAGGGGGGAATATAACACCAGGGGGTTTCACCCACATTGGTGGAAAACCAAAAAGTGGGTACCTTCCACAGATATAGTGGGTATAACCCACCATCGTTTTTGCAGTGTTGGGAATGCTATATTTTTCTTTTCCGTGGAAAAAGAAGCTGGCAAAGTCGCCAAACGTAGGTCGGTTCCCCGACAACTTTTTCATAGTGTGAGCAAAAGAGCAACTGGGCAGATAAAACAATAAAGCAAAGCCTAATCTTTCATTAATATGAGAGGAATTGCTCAAATCATCTTCGTTTTAAAGATATGGTAGCCCAAAAATTCATACTTTTGTGAGTTTACACGATGCTCTCTTCTCCCGAAGTAGCGGCCAGAGTCTTTAAACATCAGGGGCTCAATAGACGTTTGTATGCAACAAATAGAGCCTAACAAATGTATGCTAAACTGTTTAAAAGTCGAGAAAAACTAAAGCTTTCTTCACCACTTAGGGCCATGTGCCACCATTACTGTGTGTGCGGGTGGAGCATGGCTTGATTGAGCCACACCTTTACATTGCTGCAGCAGTGCAGCAAGCATGCTGGAGCTTCTTCTCTGTCTAAAAAACAAAAAATTCACTGTCTCAAAACATTCACTAAGTTTTACATGCTGAAGCTTCTTTTCTGTGTCAAAACTTTCACTAATTATTTTTCTCTTAATTTATTAAAATTGTTACACACAGACTGTGGCGAGGGTATGCACTTTAGTGCTCTCGTTCATTCATTCTGTGTGCTAGATTTTGTCTTTGAGAATGTATATCTTTACAATCGCATGCTCTAAACCTGTGAGAGCTTCTCTTCTGTTAGGAAAAGTCTTGCTTTACTGCTTCGAGATGTTTTGAGAACAGCTCTAGGTAGTACAAGCTTTTTAACTCACGAGAAAATGCCCAGCAATAGCGGTAGTACTCTGGATGTAAATGAGACTCTATCCCAGTAGATCAAGACTATTTATTTATTTAATATGTGTGGGACTCTTTAAATCTTCCTTTTTGGTGAGTTATAGCTACTCGAATTTCATCCCGAGTAAAGTGCTGTAGCAGTAGTTCGCTAGTCCATGGCTAGTCTAAGGATCCTAAACTCTCTTAAGTCACTCAATCTATCTAGGCAACAATATTTGTGCCATTATAACATCATATAGCGCTTAGAAGAAGAGAAAAAAACGTGAAGCTTCCCTCTCACATGGTCTTGCTGCATTAATGCCACGCCTCCAAGCAGGGAGTTGGCCCTGCAGCTTGCCAGTTCTGCAAGCATGCAAGAGCAAGTGTAACTGCAGCTAGGAAGCTAGCTGTTATGATAATCCCTTGGCCTCAAAAGCACAATTTCTAATTTTTTTGCATAGCATGTTTTTGATAGATTGTGGCCACAACAATAGCTGTGGTTATGAAACCCATGATGTTTTTAAAATGAGAGTGCAATAAGTATAAATATACTGTATAAATAAGTGATAAATCTTGAGATGCTAATGAGAATTTATGAACACGTTTTACCAATTTTTGGGATTCTAGAGTCCCATCATACTTTTCACACTTGCTTAGTCCAGGCTGTCAGCACTTTTGATCTATATCATTTAAATATACTGGCTTAGGCTAGCTAAGTATAACACATCCCAAGCAGCTTTAGGGGCGAGGCCACGCACCTTTGGTGTCTCGTTTATAGCAGCAGTAGAAATTTTTTATTATTTTTTGTAGATGATGATCCTGCTAGTCAGATAATCCAGCATTACAGTGATAGAATATCACAAGTATCTCTCACTGATAGTTGTATCCAGTTGTTATGTACAGAAGGATTAATCACTGAGGATACACAAAGGAAGATTGAGAGATGCGGTGGCTCATTAAGTGATACATTAAGAGAATTAATGATTGCAGTATCTGATGATCACGGTAAGCTGAGGTCACTAGGAAATATATTGATGGAATTAGAAGAAACTAAACCTTTAGCTCAAGATATTATTAATGACTATGGTAAGTATACATATCTTCCTATTATTATGACATGCACATAATGTAAATTATAATTTGATTTTTCAGAAAAAATAATAGCTAAGGCTAATTGAAAAAAGAATAAATACATGTAGTGATATCACTAGTCTCGCCACGCCCTTTGATATCACATAAATAAATAAATAAATAAATCAAAATTTATAGTATGAATAATAATATAAGATAAGAGATAGAGGTTGATTGTTTAGATTTACTTGGAAGAAAATTCCAAAGTTTAATAGTAGATTATTTCATACAGCATTTTTATTCATTCATCTATAATTTCAGATAAATTGCTTGTATCATTTGGTATGGTTCCAAAACCATCATCAGGTAAAATCATTAATTATCATTAATTTTTAAATATTGAAATATAGTCAAACCTATCCACAGTGCTGCAGACTCTTGGGCATTTTTATATTGTGTTTATGCTATATTTTTATTTTTGTTTGTTATCATTATTTTATATTATTTTTCTATTTTGATTTTTTTGTGCGGTATATTTTTTATTATAATATTATTATTTTATTGTGTGAAACATTCTACTAAAATGAATGAATCAGACTTATCTAATGCCCCAATATCATCAGGTAACTCAATTATTTTACTATTAATGGCATTATTATTTTAACTATTGAAATAGTGACTACAGCTGTAGTTACACAATTCACCAGTGGTACAGTCAATGCAGTATCAAGTCCAAAAATAAATGGTGACTTCTATTTCAATGCAGCATATCAGTCTAAGTTTGATGAGATCAGAGGAAGTTTCATTATTCTTTGTGATGAGATAGTTTTATTGATCTCTCGGCAATCAAAAGCATCAGTTGCAGAAGTAAAGTCATTCATTCAAAGGTCCTTCCCTGAATTGAGCAATGAGCTGTCTGATGCTGATAGTATTGAAGGCATTATGAATGTTGCAGTGAAAAATTGCCGAGTCAATAACATCTCAATATTAAAAATGGTTACAAAACGTTTTAAAATCACTGAAGCAAAACCTCTAATATTACAATATGAAGATGAAGTGAAGACACTTAGCGAATCATTGCAGGACTTCCTTAGTCAAAATCAGCCCAAGCATTTTCAGAATTGTAAAACAATTCAGTTTACTTTGGGATGGGAACCAAATGAGCACTCACTTGATGACATATGTAATCTCTTAGAGGAAGCATTTAAAGAATTAAACAAGAGGATTATCGTACGAAGCATTCACCGTGGGAACTCTATCATTATCATCTGTTATGGTCCACATCATTTACTAGCTGCTCTTCTCTTAGAAGCACAAGACAACCTTACTGTCTTGATGAAGGAATTCAGTTTAATTAGACTAACCATTGGCCACTACACTGTCTATGATAAAAGGATCAGATGCAAAGTACAAGATACTGTAACTGTATGAGACCTTGTTTAATATTATGTACTGATTGTAGGTAATGAATAATGAGTGTCTTGCAGAGGAGATTAAACTAGCTGATGGAGAGGAACAAGAACTGAGGACTTTACTTGATTACAAAGAAGGTGTGATAGTTGATCTATTACTCAATTACTGATGCTACTTATACTAATGGTATAGGATCAATATTTGAAGAAGATAAACAACTGAATATTTTTAAAGAAAGAAAAGGTAAAATTAGTAAATGATGAAGATACTTTATTAATGTATTTTTACTTGTATAGATTATATCGAAAGGACACTACAGACACCAGGTATAGTACTAACTTAAAGCATGCATTAAAGTAATGTGTGCTGCAGTTGATAATCATTTTGAACAAATCAGTACGGTTATATTAAATACTCATTGTGCCAATACTGTATAGAGTCTAAACTCAAAGTAAAACTACTGACTAGGGAGAAGTTGATTAACAAGATATTCAAATCAAAAAAATCAGAGACTCAGCTTTTCAAAAACTCATTTCTAATAAATAAAACAGGTATGCTGACTATAATAATATGTTTATACTACCTCATCACAGGAAGAGAGGAGGAATTAGTGAAGTATAAAAAAAAGATCAAGTTACTACAAGAACAACTGATGAGTCAAAAGACAAATATTTACAGTATGTGATATGTTAGTAATTAAACTATTAACTGATTGATTATTGTAAAGAGCCAAAAGCAAAATATTGTATTTACACAGCACGTTATGGCTATCATGGAATATGGAGTGATGATCTTTCATTCAGTGAGGGAGAGCAGCTGGAGATATATAAAAAGGGGAGTTTTTGGTGGAAAGGAAGATCCTTGGTGTCTGATGATGAGGGAAGCATTCCTAGTAGTTGTGTTTACTCAATGTTGGAGTCACTTCAATTGTTAGAGTTTATACTGTCAGTGGAAGAAGTGTCCCTTCCTATTCTACAGAAGATAAGGAATGATTCATCTAGTAATGATGAGAAAGCTTCTCTTTTCTTGGAGACTATTAATGATGATCCTATTATGATACCTGCACTGAGACAAGACAAGAAACATGATGAAGGTAATATTTGTGATTGTTGTGACAAGCATGCAGTATAATAGGACACCTTGTTCATGTTAATGCATTGTGTTTGAATTATTTCCTGTATACTGTTTGAGTGTGTTGTGTACCATATATTTATATGATGTGGATAATTATTATATGCATTCTTGTGCTACTTCTGAGGGATGTAGAGCACTTTTAACAATGTCGATAAGTGAGCTGAAACATTTATTATCATGCATTCCAATGGCATATATGTTAGTTGTTGTAACATTGCTTCTCGTGAATGGATGTATCAAATACACCCTTGGAATTATAAATATCATTCTTGGTGTACATCTGATACATCCCTCAAAGCCATCTTTTACTTCATCTTTTGGTTTTATACATGTATATTAGGAGTCACTGGAAGAGTGAGCTGGGACAGTGACAGGGTAGTCCTTCACTCTCCATCTCCAGTTCAGTCTAATGAAGTGATTAGTAATATTAATAATAATCATAAGAAGATTGTCCTCAGTGACTCATCTACTAATAGTACAGTATCTCTACTATCATCAACTAAACTGCATACACTAAACCTGAGAAAACTGGTGGTTCAATCCACTCCATTAACTAATGATTGTATCCAGTACTTGTGTATACTACTAACTAATAATGAAACAATAAAAGAACTAATTATCATTTTCCACTCCATTAGTGATACAGGAGTTTCTAATATTTGTCAAGCACTTGAACACAACTCTACACTTACCTCATTGTATCTTTATAATAATCCTCTCATCACTTCTACTAGTGGACAGGCTCTTTCTCACCTCCTCCTCAATAACTCATCACTAGTTATACTGGATCTACGGTATACTGCCTTGTCTACTGAGTCAATACTACTCATCCTCCAGTCACTAATGGATAATAAGAGTATAACGAGACTTAAGCTAGACAATCGACATGAAAAGACTTGTATTAATGCTTATCGTAAATATTATCTCATACGAGACAGAGTAGTCTGGTGGTACTAATGACTCAAGATCTTGATGGGAACTTATTAAAACAAGCCACTGCATCTTCCCTAATAAGCAACCAATTTACATAATACTCGTTTCTCAGGGTAATCTTTATCTCTAAATATACTATACACATCTCTCTCCTGCACACACATATCTACGGCACACAGTTTATAATTAATGCATTATTTCAACTTAATATATAAATGTTTTACTTTAAGATTTTTGGGCAAGTGATGGATCAACTTAATAATCATAAAATGTCACTCAAACCTTTGGCCCATGATCTGACCACAAGCTTGTGATATGATACACAAATAAGTGATAACTAAATCTAATAGATTCATGGTGAAAAGTTAGGTTTTCAAATTAATGGTATTGTGGGTATACACCATAATCTTTGCCATATCTCTCTGGCTAAAGATTACCACAGTTTATTTAGCAGAAATACTTATGTTTACTTGTACATATTGATTAATAATGTGGGGGATGTAGATCACAGATGACAGGCCATGCATGCATGTGCAATGTAGATGTGATAGTATTGTCAAATGCAATTTATTGTAGCAAGAGTAGATCTAATGTTGTACATGCATATTATAGATATATAGATCAACCATACCCTCAAGTGTGTATCAGTTAAATCATCTGATCAGTTTTGGTAATAGGCATTGCTTTAACTTTTGAAACTTATTAGCAGCATGCATATCTACTATGAGCTTTTGAAGTTACTCAAAAATTAAGCCAACAACCTTAGACTTGAGCCTCAATTCAAGGTAAATTTTGTCAAAAATGGCTAGAAAAAATTCTCCATTTTAATAATTTTTCTGATACATATACATGTCCTAATGCTGTGTATCAACTTTGAACTGATTCTGATCAAATTTGAATTTTTAAAGTAATGCCATGCATATGTACAAATTGTCAGCTCATGAGGCATATGCTGTAATTGCTGTTTAGCTCATTTAGCATGCTTTGTGGGAAGCCCTTAGCTATACAATATGTGTACATTTAGCTCATCCTCTTCCAATCCCTTACTACATCATGCAGAAGATAAGGAATATCTGTTGTCTGACAAAACTCCAGTTCAGCCACCTGAAGTTCATATCAAATTTAATTAAGGTGTGTCAAATGTCTATCATGTAATAGACTAATGTTACTTTTGTGTTCATACTCCAAAGCATAATGTTTAAAATAAATTAAATAAAAAATAATTTCTTCAGACCAAAATAATAATAATTACATAAAAGTCATTTGATCAGCTTTAGTAACATGCTTTGCTTTAACTCTCATAAGATGAGAGTTAGAGATGTACTCTTATATAATACAAAGGAGTGTAGGTAGTGAAGCTAGTCTTGAGTTTCTTTTCAGCATCTTTCTTCATCTTTTCAGCAATGCTTATAACTTCAGGAGTAACAGCCATTGGAACAAAACCCTCTGCTGGTGTAGGGGGTAGATAGTCTGGTTCATGACGGTCTCTTTCACTTGACATTGAGAACAGACTTTTGTTTACTAGTGCTCCGCTTGGAAAGAAAGATAGAAGTAGATCTACTCCACCAGACTTTCACCTGCATACACCCACGCATGTGACCACAAATTTCATCATCAATGCACAAACACCTTTAGCAAGAGTGGATAGATCTAATTATTTAGGGCCACTCTTACCTTTAGTTATTATGTACTTTATATCAATACTTTTATGGTATTATACAACAATTACTTTATTTGTGGGCATAGAGCTACCATAATACTTGACATATATCTCTGGCCAAATACTGTCACATGCAGTTTATTGAGTAGGAGTGCCTTTACAGTCTATACATGCTGAAACACTTAGCCTGTATTCAGTGGCCTTGCATGATAAGATGTGATATGTGATAGCAGGAAATGTAATCAGTTTGCTGTAGCAACAAGTAGATTTCCATCATATCTACTTGATAAATTAATTGAGGGTGTGTTGAATGTCTATCATGTAATAAAATTACTTTTGCGTCCATACTCCAGAGCATAATGTTTTTAAATATTAAACAAAAAGCAACCTGAATAATAATAATTACGTATATCATTAATTCAAAAATCAAATGTCATCTTATTATCTTCAGTAACAGTCTTTGCTTTAACTCTCATGACAGAACCAGCAACATATTTACCAAAGACATCTATTAACTGATCATTATCAACCTTAACCTACAAATTGACATCAAGCGATCATGCATAGAAGAAGTACTGTAACTGTAACATAAAATGAAAACCTATACAGCTTCATCTGACATGCAGCATCTATATGACATTTCCAATATGATACAGGACAACTTTCAAACTTTCTTGTACCCATTTAATAGAGGCTCTATCATACCATACTCTAATATCTATGATCATACTTCATGCATGCTTGCATGGATACAGCTATGCAAATGAACACTACTATGATTGAACCATAGACTTACTCTTATGCAGTAATCAGTTTCTCCTTCCTTTATATAGGACAAAGGAGTGAAGGTAGTATAGCCTGGCTTTATCTTAAGCTTCTTTTCAGCATCTTTCTTCATCTTTTGAGCAATGCTTATAACTTCAGGAGTAACATCGATTGGATGAAGACTCTCTTTTGGCCCAGGGGGTACATAGTCTGGTTCATTACGGTCCCTGTCACTTGCCATTACAAAAAGATTTTGTTTGGTGCTCAGACTAAGAGAAAGAAAGATCAAGTTCTTTAATGGGGTGGAAATCTTTAGACTCATGCAGTCTAAATGTTTCCACCCACAAGAAAGCAGATCAGGTTACAAACACCCACGCATGTGACCTCATTGAACTTGCTAATAAAATCTGATCACTGACTTTGTTACAAGACAGTGACCATTAACTGGGTCACTTGAAGAATGCTAGAGTCTTTATACACTTTGGTTTTTGCTTTCAATTTGAATCTACTATGCATCCTCTAAAACATTCTTTCGTCAAGCGCAACACATGACTAATGATGTTAAAATACATTATTTTTATTTAAAATAGACAATGATCTCTGAAGAATAGTTTATGTTAAAAATACAGTGAATGGTGAAATGAAATAAAATAATGATAGAGTATACTCTCTGGTTGGCTCTCTTTATATAAATGATCCCAGTTGATCATAAAATTCTTTAAGTCGTACAGTTAAATGACTAAATCTTGGTCTATCACTAGGAGTGAGGGCCCAACACCAACCCATTAAACTAAACCTGTTGATAGGAGAGGGAGAGAGAGAGGGGGGAGAAAGAGGGTGAGAGAGAATGAGAGTGAGTAAAAGTGGGTTGTTTCTTACAGATCATCAGGACAGTTTTTAGGTTGGGGGAGTCTGTGGCCAGTAGTTAAATAGTTTAACATATTTTCAGGTAGTACATCTTCATAAGGAGTCTTTCCTCTTGTCATTATCTCCCACAGTACAACACCAAATGACCACTAGAATATACAAACAATGAGAGACCATCAGGTACAAGCTATACACAGTTACTCTTTATAGTAATAAAGTAACACAACCACAAACAAACTGGGAACATTAATACCCAATATTACCAGTTTTACCACATCAGGCATTTTACAATTTACTATTAACATCCAAAATTAATGCTTAACTACTGTCAAAAATTATTAGGCCAATAACCCTATACTAGTACAGGGTATTTTGAGCAAAATTACAAAAAAAATTCTCCATTTTTATAATTTTTTCTGATACGTATACATGTCCTAATGCTGTTTATCAAATTTGAGCCGATTCTGATCAAATTTGGATTTTTTATGAATTTTTAAAGTTGCTCAAAAATCGGGCCAACAACCCAAGGCTATATAGCCTTTGGTCACGGGCCAAATTTTGTCAAAATTGACTAGGAGAGAATTCTCCATTTAAAATTTTTTTTCTGATACATATACATGTTCCTATGCTGTGTATCAAGTTTGAGCTGATTCTGATCAAATTTAAATTTTTTTATGAATTTTTAAAGTTGCTCAAAAATCGGGCCAACAACCCAAGGCTTAAAGTTGCTCAAAAATCGGGCCAACAACCCAAGGCTATAGCCTTTGGTTACGGGCCAAATTTTGTCAAAAATGACTGGGAGAGAATTCTCTATTTTTATAATCTTTTCTGATACATATACATGTTTTTATGCTGTGCATCAAGTTTGAGCTGATTCTGATCAAATTTAGATTTTTTATCAATTTTTAAAGTTACTCCAAATGCCATGTACTGTATTGTAGTGCTTGTCAGCTCATGAACCTCATGCTATTAACATGAAGCTCACTTGATAAGCATATGCTTTGTGGGAAACCCTGGGCTATATGGTACATATGTACATGTATGTGTACATGTACATGTAGTTCTCCTTCCTCCACTCTCTTACCACATCAGAAGATGAAGAGTATCTTTTGTCAGACAAAACTTCAGCTGCCATCCACTTGACAGGATAAGCAATGGTCTCATCTCCCCCTCCTCCTCTCTCTTCTATTGTATTATAATCTTCTGGATAAAAATCCCAACTTAGTCCCCTATCACCAATCTTTACATGTAGATTCTCGTGAATACTATTAATTATAAGTAACTCCACCCACTTTAATTAATACTCTTACTATATATTCCTACATGCCAGGTCTTTATGTACTTGTCCTTTTCTAGTTAAATGGTACATTCCTCTGGCCACTTGTTCAGATATAAATACAAGATCATGTGTTGATATATATGTACACTGACCAGACTGGAGAGGGAGGGAGAGAGGGAAATTTTTCAATGCAATACATGTACAGGTATACCATTAATATGACAAAGTGTTAGCACAATATATTTTTAAGAATGTCTTCACTATTGTACTTGTTATTGTTGACATAATTATTTTAACAAGAATACTTAAACCTTTTAAAAGGATGATCTGTTTGTGGGGAAAGTTCAGTGAAACTTTCCACTTCATGTAAGGACATTGGGAATTGCAATAAGAAAATTATCAACAATCTAAAGCTGATTAAAGTACAATACATAGTAATAGAGTACAAGGTAATTTCAGAATGCGGTTTATTTTTAATGATCATGCAGTGCTAAAAATTTCTATATAAAAAGGCTATCAAAAGTTTAAGAATTCACAGTAAATGTAATACTATACAGAGGGAAATTTTGGAGGGAGTTAAATTTGGTGAATCGCTAAATTTTGGTGATTGGCAAATTTTAATTTGGCAAATTGGCCATGTGCCATTGAGCATGCGTAAAATGGTAGATTTTATTTTGGCAAATGGCTATCAAAACATCAAATTCGCAAATTTAATTTCCTCCAAATTTCCCACTATACAGTACATTATGTGTACATGTACATGTACATGTATCCTTACATTATTTCCTGGTAACATGATTCCTCCTCCTTCTCTTGTTTTCAGTAATAAAGTTTTCAAAGTACCAAATGAAGATTTGGGATAGAGTAACATTGGTTGTTCTAGGTCTGAAGCATGGGCACCAATTAGAGGTAATAAATGACGATGGATCACACCCCTTGTAGCAGCCCCGCCCTCCAATAACGACTTTACAACAATATCAGGAGTATTATCTATGTTTGTAATTAATTAATTATTCATTATTATTATTATTAATTACCTTTAACAGTTTTAATTATTACTGGTATTGCTCCTTCAACATCATCTTCAGCATTAGTTAAATATCCTTCATACATAACACCAAACACACCTAGCAATAACCAGTAATAACTATTAATAACTTTTAATTACCAGTAATACCTAATAATACCCACAANTGCTAATACATGTAACTATTAATAAACAACTTGGAGAACAATAAACATATCTTTATGTTCTGT